TATACCATCCCGCATTAATGCTACTTCAATTTCGTAAAGGTATTGATATCCGTTTACAAGGCGCTAGAACCCCTTATCTGCATATGTATCTATATGATATCGATCTTGGTGAGTACAACCCTCTTACATATGTCTGTCTCCAATTAGCAGTGCTTGAACTGCATTGCTGGAAAAGGGTATAGATAGTATATTTACAGGCTGTGAGGCATTCCATCTTAAGCGTTTATTACATTATTCAATTTTTAGAAAATCTAATTAGGAAGTTGGAAAATGTAATCGTAGTTAGAACAGATAGAATCCGATTTAGTTAAAGTTGGAGGTCCCGACTACTCTACTTTCTAAATTGTCTACAATTTAGGACAGTGTAATCGCAACGTTAGTACTCAGAGGTGACAACGCATCTGTTAGCCTTCTTTGTTCAAGGTTAGCTGCAGATGTTTATTTTTTATTTTAGATGAGGAGACAAATGAGCATGCGGCCTACGTAATGGTAAGTGTTGGCCACCACCCATGAACACCAGGGAAATTGCAGGTATATTGCCGGCCTTTTAAAAAGCAGTAAGCACGTTTCTTGAAGTTCCTTAAGCCGTATCGATCCGGTTGGCGAGGAAGAAAACTCCTACTAAATCAGACAATAGTGGACCACCAAGCATCTTCACGGTATAGATGGTAACGTAAGTTTTGGCACGATGTGCGTTAGTGAAATTTGGCGGCTGGAATTAATCGAAACAATTCCTCAGAGCACTCCCCGTGGTAAAGCCATGCTGCAGCTATATTATGGTTGTAGCACGAATGGGTCGGCTCGAACGTGGAAGGACCACGCTCTCACAGAAAACCAGCGTAAAATAGCAGCTTAATGCTGCTGTGTTTCGTATGGTGAGTGTAGAGAACCGGAGACCCTTTTTACTGGCAAAGAGGCATTCCATCTTAGTCCTCACGGGTGACAACGCATCTGCATCTTGAGTCTTTATTGAGGATAGAAGTAGATGTCTATGGGTCACAGTAACCACTTACCATCAGTTGGACTGTGTGCTCGTTTGTCACCCGATCCTATAAAAAAAATGCGATAGAAAATGCAAAGGGATACAAAATCTTATCGCAATGAATCGATCCGGTCAGAAAGAAGTCGTTATCTGTGGACATTAGTAGCCACTTACTATCAAAGTGGACTACACAATCGTTTGTTACTAAAGTTTTAAAAAAACACCAGCTACCCAGTCAAAGTAAAAAAGCGTTCAAAATCTTCCCTGCAATTCTCGGTCGCTTCACTTTGGTAGGTTGGATCATTTTGAAAAAGTCAATGATCGGCTGGCTTTTCGTTTCTGGATCATATGGATAAGTCCAAGATTAGTCACCTGTACCGTTACCGTTATATTTTATTAAAATCCACTGCTGAACATAGGCCTTCCCCATAGGTAGTCTCATAAGGAGGATATATGCTGTAATTCCACGCTTAACAGGCTGAAGGCGCTACTCCCCACCTCCTGGCTTGTTTTCATCTGTCACCTCTTACGAGCCCTACGGGACCAAGAAGATATCGGGTAGTAGATATTCTTATATCGCCACTACACGCACATTATCACCTGTACTAAATTTGAAGCCACCTCATTAGGTAGCTTCAAATATAGTAAGCATGTCATGGCACCTTAGAAGTGTCTGTGTACATAAATGCCATATAAAATCTATCAAACGATTAGCCCGATTTAAGACGATATTTGAAATCGCAAATAAATCATCAACAAAAATGCTCCCTGCGCAGATCCGTTTGTCAATTAAACATATATTATCATATTACATACTTAATCATGAAACACGATTGAACGAGTTATTTTAATTGGGGTAAATTTGAAATTGGAACATTCGTATTTTCTATTTAAATAATCGTATTTTCAAAATAAATTGTAGCTGGCCAGTAATTAATACAAAAGAAAACCTTTTTTCGCAAAACTATTCTGAGTGGCCATTCGTAATAGGCTCGCATAATGTGGAAAAGCTAGTAACCTATGGTTAATAATGTATTGGTAAAAATACATACCATAACCCTCTTTTTCATCTTTTTATTTATACTGATTTTTTTGGTGTATATATAATGTTTATACTAGCATGTAATTTATTGCGTTGTAGTTTAATAAAAAATATAAATCGGTACCTAGTTTTTAGTGGCACCCTTTTTAACCTGTAAATCCTTGGGTAGGTCCATATTTCCCCTAAATATTTCTGCCTCCAAGTAACAATAGCAGTACATCAATTACATCAAAAATATTTTACCACATGTGATCCTGAGGGTATTATAAGAGAGAACTACTAATGTCAGCTCAGATCTGTCATGGACTCGAGTGTAAAAATATACAGAAGATGCAGTGCCATCGCGATCAGCGAGGTGAAACGATTAAACAAATTATTTTGGCCTTAAGCAACTAATGGGAGAAATATATATGCAGCATATACAGCAGTGATCAGCTTAAGAGTCCAATGAAATAAAATTAATTAAAAAGGAAAATCATCATGTGACTTATCAGTTTTCATACATATATTTGTTCTCCGCTAGGAGTAAAAGTATTATGTGTATTTGTGTAAGCGCAATGTAACCACGTTCATTAAATAAATTTTGCAAATTAATAAATAACATAATTATGGGAAATACAGTCCAATGAAATATACGTACGAGTTAATATAAATGTACAGATTAATTAATTATGGATCATGTATTGTAACACGCAATCTTTACCAGTTACCTATTACTTACATTAATATTAAATTAGATTACGTGGTAAATAAGCCGTAATAATCCAAGCCAATATACAGGGAGGTCCAAATAGTGATGTCCGAAAGAAAAATTTAATTTCCTTACATCTAGGGGTATCCGAAAATATCGAATGTATGTTATCCGATTTTATGTAGTTTTCGAGTACAACGTGCATTTATAATAAAAACCGCTTATTTCCTCAATTCATCAAAATCTGATGATGATAATATCTAACATACTAACAATCGTGAAAATATAAAACCAAATTTAAATTCTTTTTTAATGAGTTCATTCCCACAGGAAATCAAAATATAAAATTCAACATTCGACTTTAATACCATTACTGACGTTTTTAATAAAATCAATATTGAATTTGATATCCATATCGAAACAGTTTATTTCTACCAGTTTTTACTTAATAAAATTAAGTAACTAAAATTCTATAGGTCCTTGTAATAGGTTAGGTTTAGGCTTAAAGAAACTTTATTGTCAATAAAGACATATATTTTATAATCTCTTTTATTTCAATAAGCATTTCACAATTTGCATAAGGTAGGGAGCATCTTTTAAGCACCTTAAGGCACTTGTGTCAGATACTCCCGCTCTTCCATAGCTATACAAAATTTTCTAGAAACATATAATTACATATTATACAAAAAAAAAATAAAAAAAAGTATTTTAAAATTATTCAACAATAAATGTGTGTCTGTGTGTGTGTGTGTGTGTGTGTGTGTAAGTGTGTATGTGTGTGTGTATGTTAGTGTGTATGTGTGTGTGTGTGTTTGTGTGTGTATGTGTGTGTGTTAATAACTTGCAGTCCTTGGTATTTCTACAGTAAATATTAAAATTTTTGTTGACAGAATTATACACATAGATAGATTGGTTAATGAACTGACGTCTAGCAAATGCAGTTTTAACACGAAAAGAGTTGAGTACAATGTCTTAATTGCATGCATTAAATGCATTAACTGTCAGAAAATTGGATTGAAGCCAGCTTGCAATTTTAGTGAGGCCTGATTCTGTACCTTTACGGATGTCATCCCATGATGTTCCAGTAAAAACTACAGCAGTATCATCGGCATATGTGAACACTCGGGCACCATCAATTTTCAGATTACAAAGATCATTGATATAAATTAAAAACAAAGTTGGGCCTAAAATACTGCCTTGTGGTATACCGTAGGTAGAATATGTGTCCTCACTAATAAACTGATCTATTTAAACTTTTTGTGTACGGTTTAATAAGTAATTTTAAACAATGTCAAGGTTGTATCCCTTATGCCAATATTTACTAATTTTTGTAAAAGGATGGGGACATAGATAGCATCAAAGGCCTTTTTGAGGTCTAGAAAGATTGCGAGACATTTTTTACCCTGATCCAAGTTGTTAACTATGAACGAGCTAAGAGCTAAGATTGCATCTTCTGTGGATTTACCTTGTCTGAAACCATACTGACAGTCAGACAAAATATCGAACTTAGTAAGATAACTTAAAAGTCTTGTGTTGATAAGCTTTTCTAATATTTTCGAAATCGAAGGTAGTACTGAAATTGTTCTATAGTTGCTAGCATCACCTCTATCCCCATTCTTATAGACTGGTGTTATAACAGCTCGTTTTAAAGGTTCAGGAAAAACGCCATGCTTAAAACAAAGGTTTACAAAGTGGCAGGTTATAGGAGTGATTTGAGTTACTGTAAGTTTTAGAAAGTGCACTGGAATATTATCCCATCCAGGAGCACTGTTTGATTATAGGTTCATGATGATATCATGTACCTCTTGAGGATCCGTATCTAGCAAGACAAAGGAAGAAAGCTGGGGCTGCCCTAATACTGTTGTATATTTACTATCATTATTTCTAGTTATAATATTTTTGGCAAGATTTTTACCTACATTGGCAAAAAGTTATTAACATAGTTTACCGAATCTAATGGTGTTGCTTTTATATGTAGTAAATCTGTATTACTTACTTTTGTTTGATTTAGTTGTGCTATCCTTTTAACTCACCGGCACGGAAACTTGGCCACTCGTGAATTTGCTGATTATTTGCACTGAAACGTTTTTTTAACAGTAAATTAAGGGTAGATGCATTCAATAAGTGTCTCTAATGGTTTTAGAATGTAGAAATTTAATGTTTACTTCACCAAAATTTTTCTTTTCAAGATAACATGTTTTCACTAAAATTAACATCTTTCCATTGTCACTTTAAAAACACTACAAAGTTAAAAATTAAGTCTGTTTCTTTATTGTCTATCAGTTTTAATATCGGGTGTTTCCTCCCCTAGCCCTGATAACCGCTTGCATTCGATCTGGCATGTTTTGAATGATGTTTCTGACATCAACTTGCGGTATGCTGTCCCAAGCGGCCAGCGCTGCATTTCGGAGCTCATTTAGAGTTTTTGGCGGTTTGGAGCTGGACTTTATCTTTCTTTTGAACATACCCCATACATGCTCAATGAGGGCATCCACGACTTTTTCTACCACCAGGGCGGCGCCACTAGCTAGTGAGGTATAATATTTGACAGATTTCATAGCGGGGAAGTTAATTTGTTCGGAAAATGTAAAGATTATTGTTTCTTTCTGTACTATTAGCTATATTTTATATTAATAAGATTAAAAATAAATAAACCAAACCACAATATTCATAAAAGTAGAAACATTTAAATAAAAGTTAAAAATGCGCAAAAAACTTAAAGAGCAAAGACCACTGACGCACTGGTTTGTGTATTAATATAGTACTCTAGAAACTGATGAACTTTTATTAAAAACCAATCTCTCAATTAAATGACATTGTGTAACTAAAAATTTTACCTCAGTGTCAACTAGCGACATCTAGTGAACACAAAATTATTAGCCCTCATTGGATTTAAGTCCGGGCTACGAGCTGGCCACTGTAATTTTTGTATTCCAACCTCTTTCAGATATTCCTCTACACAATGTGCGACGTGCGGGCGTGCATTATCGTGCATGAGGAGGAATTGGTCGTGTCCAATGAATCCCGAATAAGGAATTACGTGTAATGTATCGAGTAGCTGTAAGCCGATTATCGACGATGACCAACTCTGTACGTGCGTCGGAACTTACACCTCCCCATACCATTATTGAGCCTCCATGGAAACTCACAGTTTGGGTGGTGGTAATGGGTAGAAACCTCTCTCCTCTTTTTCTCCACACTCGTTCTCGACCGTCTGGAGCACGTAAAGCTATTCGACACTCATCTGTGAACAACACTCTAGCCCATAGCTCGTGGGTCCAATTGACATGTTCTCTTGCGAACTGAAGTCGGGCTACTCGGTGCTGTCTGAGAAGTTCTGGACCTCGTGCTGGTCTACGAGCTTTTAAATTCACTTCCTCCATTCGTCTTCTCACCGTACGCTCACTAACATTAACGCCTCTTGCGATTTGGAGCCGCTGGCGTATCTTAACAGCGGTCAGGTAGCGGTTTCTCAAAATCTCCATAACAATAAAACGATCGTCCCGGGCCGATGTGCACCTTACGCCCCCACTGCCTGGCCTGCGGGTGTAGCGTCCTGTCTCCTGGTATCGTTTCAGTGAATACTGCATTGAGGACCGTGGTACGTTAAGCACAATAGCAACTTCACGCTGTGTCAGCCCTTGGTCAATTAATGCTACTGCTTGTGCAACTTGTGCTGGTGTTAATGGCATTTTTATTGGCTTTAAAACACCTTTAGTTATTGAATTAAGACAAGATCACAATAATTGAATAACCTTACAGTAAACTTTTCACAACACACAAATTTAAAATGTGAACTTAGTCGCTCAAATGACCCAATTCAACTAAAAATTAAAGAATTCGTCATGGTGCACTTAAACATAATGAATTACCCTCTTGAACTTGAGAGCAAACATTTTTTGACATACCTGCATAACAAACATTCATCAGAAACACTTAAAGCTTTTGCTATCGCGAGATAACCGCTTGGCCAAGATTCCGTGCCGGTGAGGTATTATTCCAAAGACTTTTACTGTTATTGAGGGACATCCTCAGGACCTATCTTTCATAGCTCTGTTTTGCTTTTTTTATTATTTTATTACAATTGTTACGATATCTCTTATATATAATTATTTGAATTTCATTGTGAGGATCGGAACGTTACTTTTTTTGCAAATTGTTGCGATTTCTAATACAACGCACAATGCCAGGAGTTATCCAAGGTTTTAATATGCGTTTATTTTTTGGAAGATGCACAATCTTTGTATTTTCTTGTAAGGATTCACTCAATTTATTAACTAATATTTCTATAACTGTATGGAGATTTTCACAAAAAAAGGAATCTAGTCACTGGTTACAGGCTTTACCATCAAGTAATCTCGGCACATAACTTAATGGGGAAAGCTTGCGTATTGCCGTAGGAATCCGACTAGGAGCGGCGCTTTGTTAACCCCATGAGTACCCCTGTGGTAGCAGCGTCGACAAGTTTGGGCTCCACGGACTTTCATGTAAGAAAAGCGCTGGTAGGTTTTCACGACACAGTTCTTTGAACGATGTCATCCGAAGGGCTCTTGTCTCTATAAATGTTCCCTTGATTTTAGCCTTGTGGAATATTTAGAGACGATGGCAGGAGACCCGACGGTATGACATTGGTCCCTTGGAGGAAAGGTAAAGCCCTAGTGTGAGATGCTACTTGCGTAGACACTCTGGCAGCCTCCCATCTCAGGGGTACCTCGTTTAGAGCCGGGGCTGCATCAGAGGCAGCTGAACTAAGTAAGTGGCGCAAATATGAGTCTCTGAAAGATTCTGTCTTTCTGTCTGTCTGTCAGTCTGTCTGTACGGGCTAATCTTCGGAATGACTAAACCGCTTGTAATAAAACTTCACGAACAGTCAGAAAGCAATGCCAGAAGTGATCAGATTATATTTTATCAGAAAACCTTGAAGATTTTTTTTTTTGAAGAAAAACGAGAAATTCATAAAATAAATTGTCTTTGAATATCTTAAATCTTAATAGAAATAGAATAGAAATAGAAAATATATTTATTTAACCAAAAACATTACATAATTAAACAATATACTGGTTTCTGCACTAAGCTCTAGGCTTGTATCGCAGGAACCAAGAACATTGACTGACACCGTTTACACCGTTAAATACATAGGACTCCAATTAAATTAAAATAAAGCTAAAAAAATATTTTTTTGTATAAATTAATGCATGAAAGAAAAAAAATAGCTAATTTGCTCTAAGAGTGCTTGCGTGCGTGCGCGCGCGCGCGCGTGCGTGCGCGTGTGTGTGTGTGTGTGTGTGTGTGTGTGTGTGTGTGTGTGTGTGTATGTGTGTGTGTGTTTCTGCGTGTGTGGGGGTGGGGGGAGGATGAGTGCTTACGCGTGTGTGTGAGTGAGTGTAAGTCTACGCGCGTGCATTTATGGGGTCAACTACTCGTATGAAAGGAAAGTAAGTTTTCCGTTTCCTGATAAGAAGCATATAGCAACCAGGTTGTTATTAACGCCATATTAATATATCCTACGCAAACGAAGCCAGAAGAATGGAAGTGTCTCTCTATAATATTCAAAATAAATGCCTTAAATTGTATTAAGAGAGTTTTTTGTATACCATTGTTGACCATATTTTATTATAACTATTACAAAATCCAAAATCCCTTTATCAAAAGTAACTATGTACCGGCAAATGAATTCTACAGTAATACTAAACAAGCCAATAGCAGTAGTCACTAATCACTGTGAAAAATTACCATGACACATGTAAACCAACAGACCAAACTCTTTATAAAAACTCAGTTTTCATTTCATTCCCCTTTAAATATAACTTTTTTGAGAACTAAACATTGAGATGGAAGAATAATGCGTGTAAAACTTATTTTTATGATCCCCTCCAAACTTTAACTCTAGATCCGCGCCTGCATGCCCTGAGTTTTATTTATTTTATTTGCAAATGAAATACTCACTATTACTTGGATGTTTTTAAACTCAACCGGATATTTATTAAGAAATAATGATATTTTTTACCTTAACCTTTCACCTGCATCGCCTACATCTTTTACGGAGCAACTTATTTATTTTGAGCTGAGTGATGTTATAAAGATTTTTTAAAAAATAATAAATAGCGTGCTACAATCTACTTAATTTAGAGCGATGGTAAATCGATAATAATAAACATTACTTTTCACTATTACATATTGAGTATTTTCGATGGTATATGAAACTTTATAAACAATACTTTTAAAGAAAATAATATGAAACTTTTGTTAAAAATATGGCTTTGTCAACTTTGAAATTTCTAGTTGTTACGGCCTATATACGTCCTATTGCTGTACACAGGAACTATATTATACCGCGCTGCTACGTTACGTGTTAGCGGAATTTACATGTTTTGAAATTATTTTATTTCTCAGACATGCCAGTTTTCGAGTGATGTTTTCCTTAAATATTGATATTTACAATTTTATTAGTGTCGCTGTATTGATCCCGAGTTGCTCACGTACCGTGAAATTACAGCTCGCTCTTAGTCTCTTAAATATAAATTAATATAGAACATCTTTATAAAAAAATCCTTATATAAAAATAATATATTAGACACGATATAAATATTATATACAAATAATATTAAAATTTGAGAATCTAAATTTGTACGTAATATTTGCTATTATATACATTAATGAAGTACCAACCAAACTTGTTACCGATAAAAAGCAGTGTGATTGATATTATGCCACAGCGGAGCAAGATCTAAATTTGGTGTGAGCAAGATGATTTTTTTTATAGGAGAGGAGGCAAACGAGCATGCGGCTCAACTGAAGGTAAGTGACTACCGCCGCCCATGAACAACTGCAACACCAGGGGAACCAGGGGAATTCCAGATGCGTTGCCGGCCTTTTAAAAAAGAGTAGTCTCTTTTCTAGAAGGTCCCTAAGTCGTATCAGTCCGGAAAAATCGCTGGTGGTAATCGATTCCATAAGGAAGTGATATTTTTATATTTTTTATTTTATTATATTTGATTCACCTAAATACATCAACATCCTGCATGTTATACCATGTCGTTCGGCCTCCATCTAATGGGATTATATTTGTGTCATACATATTGTTCAATAATTGTGAACGTAGTTTCCCTACAACCTCAGTATAATTGTGATATGAGCACATCTAAATCTGACGTCTTAACTGTTGGAAACCGAAAAGTTCGCAGACACTGTGTAGGTTATACTGAGCATAGTGCTAGGTTTAAAATCAGCATTTTTGCAATACTGGAAGTCATGAATTCTGTATGAAGATGGTTCGTCATGATACTCAAAAATAGCATGTAGATGAAGTTTAGAAGAGAAATCGGCTGTAGTTCTTCATAAGGGTGTACGCAGACCTACTTCGGATGACAGTGAGTGCGTCCAATTCATAGAACGTTCGACAACTGTTCGACATCTGAATCTTCACTATATAAAATCGTTTAATATTTGATTTTATTTTCATAGATAACATGAACGATAAAAATCTTCCGAAGTTAGAGAGATCATATCCATTTGTTAAAATGAAAAACCGTCCCGCGAGTGATGATAATCGCTCTAC